AGCGAGTCCTTGGAACATGGCATAAATTACTAGCCTTAAAAGACTCAGCAACCTGCAGTTTCTAAAACCCTTCACCTCAAAGGAAAACGATCCATTTACAGAGTCTGTTAGAGGAAGGATCGGTTTTCACTGTTAGGGTGCTGTAAGGAAAGAGGCAGATAATATTCAGCAAAGTGGAGATATTTCATGTGCATGAAAAACAACCACCACCATCAGTTCTCTCACAGGAATTAATGCAACTTATGAAGCTGCAAGTCAAAAAAGAAACACCTGAAGGTATTTTCAATACAAATCAAAAACAGAATGACATCACAGCAGCTTTCATTTATCGTCTTTGCCTGTGTGAGACGTGCTGATATTTGATGGAAACCCACTTGAGTACAAAGTTTTTATACTGGCGTGAGCGTGGAAGGAAGCAATGGCAGAATTAAATTAGAGCAAAATTAATCTCAATTTGTTGGAGCGTGTGAACGCATCGTCCAGATGATGACAGACATCATACAGTTTTCTGTGGAGTGGAAGCCTGAATAGCAACAACGATTATTCCTGTCTTTAAAAAGGCTGAATGGCTGCTGAAAAGCTTAAATACACACAACAGGTAACGAGGGAAAAGGAAACAGGTTGATAATAATCTCAGGATAAGGAGACATGGCATGTAGAATTAAACTCAAGCACACAAGACACCAGAATGTGAGAATAAAACAGGAACAAAAGAAACTCAGAAGCAGAACAACACATACAGGAACAACTAGACACAACTACAACATAAACCACATCTCGAAATCCAAAAGAATGAAGAAGTCCACAACAGAAACACACAACACTGTGTCAAAGTCCTGGGAACCATGACGGCATGGTTATTAAAGTATTAAATACAAAGTTAGAAGGAAAAAAATGAACAAAAAATATAAAAAATTAAATATCAACAAAACGCTGACTGATGCACATCTGTGACTGTGTTGAATACTGTACCTGGAATATAAACAATATTTACTCAGACTTCCTGAGTAAATAACTAATTCACATATTTGATAAACCAAGCCAACTTTATTAATAAAGTTCTTTAAAACAGCAAGTGCCGACCAAAGTTAAGAACAGAATAAAAATAGAAAATCATTTATGTGAAAACACTTTAAAACAATCAGAAATCAGCTGTCACTCTGTGGCCAATGAAAAAGGCGTGTTTTAAGAAGTGTTTTAAGAAGTGTTTTAAGAAGTGTTTTAAAATCAGGACAAAGGCTTTCTGATAAATTCAAATCTGTTTCCTG